TTAGTTCACAGTAAGCGCACATATCTGGGTCAGTTTAGTCAGTAAATCGTAACGATGGGCAGAAGCTACGCGCCAAGGAACTAAGCTCATCGGTGCCTATTTTTGCACTTATCCACAGAAAACTTCTAAAATGAATAAGAAATAAGGGAACCCGAATACGAATAGACGGTGCAAAGGTCTCAAGTACAGTGGACATTGGTAGTGCAACCAAGATCAATTTTAAGACTCCTTTGCGATGCCTGACTGAGGTACACCAAACAACTCGAATGTTAGCTTCTCAATAGAGCTCACATTGCTCCTTCATTTTCGGTGCCTCATTGTATCACTTTCCTTAAAGACGAGCGGCTAGATCCAGAGAAACCCTAACATGACCTTCTGAATGCAATTTGAAAAGGATTAAGGTCGTCTGGAGTTATAAGCGACTATAAATAGGTCACGCAAACAAATTGCATATAAATTGGGTACAAAATCCGTATATAAAATTTTAATCAAAGCATAAACCTACATATATGTCCATCTTATAATTATTTTTAAAGAGTGAAAATGCAGGTAGCGTCTTTGATTTAGAGTGACCTCATTACCTGCATAATTTCTCGTGATAAAAAGTCGGCTAAATTTCATAAATCATTAAAAAAGTCAGCGCTAGAAGAGAAGTGTACTATTACTGAAGTCTCATGCGGGGTGTATAAACTTTTATCGATGTGCAGGTGCCACTTCGTGATAATGTCAGCCTAGACATCACAAGTAATAAGGTTTTTCTCAAAGATCTCATTAACTTACTTACTAAAAGCAATTGACACAGCAAAGTCGAAACTGTGGCTCCAATCCTGATAACGGTTTTGGGTGCTTATTATTGTTGTTTCATAGATATTTTGTTGAAAATTCAAAGAACAATTTGTGGTATTCAGTCACAATATTAGCGCACTGGAATCGCATAGGTGAGGAATTAAACCTAAACAATTCTATTCTACCTGTATATTTTCTTAAAACATCCATTGTTATTACGCGAGCACAGTGAAAGGATACCAATTTGACACTTTGGCACAACAGTTGGCTGAAAAACTTTTGACTTATAGGAGGGTTTGGAAATCCCTGACATGGTTCGGAGACCACAGCGCACCTAGGACATATAACGCTGGTGTTTATAATCGGAGCGCTATCCCAGCCGAGGTTAAACGATGAATGAATCAACAAAGTTGGCCTATCTCCTGGAAGAAAGACCAAAATCGACAACTCTGTGCAGCCATAGTGTCCGTTGAAGCATCATCCAACTCGCCAAATTTTACACCATGTCCAGGCAATCGACACCAGGTGCATCCCTTAAGTTGCAACTTATTGGTGTTAAAATAAAACAATGAGGATGAGAGATGGGATTGAAGGTAAGTAAAATAGTGTAGAGGGGTTCCCACAACCTGTTAGCTAATTGGTATTGCCGAATCTGAAATGTGTTGTCGACTGAGTAAAAACGATTTAGGCAGAACTGGAGTGAAGCTGAAGCCGACAACTTTTTCCCATACTTTAATAAATGCCTGCTTTGAAGCCAGTGATTGCACAACTAGTAATGGCCACCATACTCTTCCTTCTTTCCTTCCGTTCCATTGCAATTTTGAAGCGGAAGAGAATCTGAATCCTATACGTTTACCAAAAGGGACCACTGGCGATGCTCGATGCAAATTCGGTGACTAGCGCGGTCGGCAGATTCCCGGTGCTGGTCCTGCAATATCAAGTACACTGCAACAACAGAGGATCTTTGAGACGCTATTATTACATTGCGATGACCTCTTGTAGGGCAGCCAAGGTGTCCCCACGAAAGTGCTACTAAGAAATCATCATCACAAAGTGAAGGTAGGGAAACGTTAAATCAAATTAAATCCTTATGACCAAACAAAAAACCTAGGTTTTACTATAGGAAGCTTACTAGGTAAAACAAAACTTTCTTGTGAATTAAAAAAGACAAATACAGTGGTAAATAAAAGTACAAAACAAAAAACAAAACCAGTATAAATTTTAGAGGTCACGAGCTAACGATAAGATATAAAAAGGCAGAAATGACTTATGACTATTGCAAAAGTAGAATCAGCCTGCAATGAAGAAGAAATCACACGAAGAGTCGTCAGAAGCTGCCAGCAAAGAAGAATGCAACGTACAAAGTGAGAGAACTTTAAGCCAACCGGATGAGGAGAACGCAATGTGCGATGCAAAAGGGTGGGATGGTAGTGAAGATCGAAAACTCAGGGAGTACGTACTTTCAGTGGCTCAAAAGTACTATCCTCACTTGGTAAAATGCATGCAACAAGGCGATGCTAATCAGGCACCCTCCGATGTGCTTGGGGCAGACGAGGAGACCGATGCGAAGCACAGTCCAAAACACAATCTCACCTTGTGCCACGCTCATTCGGCAGCTTGTATCCATCAGTGCGAGGGTACTCAACCACCCTCAGGGGTTCGCAGCACAGACGCTGCGATCCATGGGGGACCCTGTTCGATACACAGTCTGTGTCTATGCCATCTCCAGCCATCAATCTGTAGCCATCATTGCGAGGCCACTCAAATGCCCTCCAATGCGCTCGGTGACGACGAGGTGTACAGCGCATATTGCTCTCATCAGTGTCAGCACATGTGTGCACAGGCATGCCATGTCCCTTCGCAAACTTGTAGCCACCACTGCGAGGACAGTCAGACACTCTGTGATGCGCATGGTGTTTGTGGGGAGGTCGATACAGAACACCTATTAAAGCAGTGTCTGCA